AGGCCAAGCCCAAGGGCCACCTGACATAAGAACAGATCCTGGATCCAGTCAGTCATAGCCTTTGGAGAAAAGGACAGAAGCCTCTTTATCTGTTAACTGCCCAGCAGGAAGTCATCTCTCATAGAAGGATGGCAACTGATTTTGTATTAGTAAAATTCTTATTTATCATGTATAAAATTAATTGATTGGTGGAGTGGACAAAGCAAAAGCCCCGCTTTTCAAGTTATGTCCTCTGTCTCTGGACACACATCTAATGTGATGATTCCTATTTGCCATGGACAGTCCTAGGCTTCCAACCTAGGAAGAGGTGGTGCTCCAACTGCAGCCAGTTAAGCTAAGCATGCCCTACCTACCAGATGTGGGACTTGGCAATATCCTGTCCTGTAGGAAGGATAGCAATTCTTTAATCACAAGTTTTCTGAAATTAAGACTCTTCCATCCTGGAAGGCAACCATAAAACAAAGCCACATGCTAGAAGTCAAGGGAACAGGAAGGAAGCCAAAACTTATGCAGCAATGACTGTAGTGCTTTGCAGAACCACCACAATAACCAAACTGTCTGCCAAAGTATGCAGAAATCCAGACACACACACCCTGATCCATGCCTATCAAGCCATCGTTCATCTTTCTGTTTTATGGAGGGGTCTGGAAACCTACCTCTATTCATGGGCTAACAACAGACAAAGCCTGTATTGCCTGATTCATTCTCCACTGGGAGGAGAAGACCACCCTTTAAAGGCCAATAACACTCCCTCCCCCAGGCTGGTTGTGTGATCGCCTTTGAAAGAAAGGACACTTAGTTCTTTGTGTTCTTGTTTTACAATTATTTACTCTGCCCATAGAAATATGGCATTATACATCTCTCCATCACTCTGGTGTCACAGAATAGTACCCTTTAACAAGCCAGGCCTTGAAAACGAAGTATTTTCTAAGAGTTTCTTCAAAGAGAACCAATGAAATAACTTTGACTTTATATATTCTAAGAGATGGATTTCAGAATCAAAGGATGATCTGTTGCATCCTTTTATTTTTCCAGCTTCCTTTTTCAAAGTGGCAAATGTCTACCAATCTCCAACCTCCATCCAATTTTGTCAAATATTTTGAGTATTCCTGTTGGTTCTGAAGCTATGCTATGCTGTAAAAACAAAAACAAAAACAGAATCTTTTATATTTGTATGTGAATGCTTGAAACAAAACCCTGTTTTAAAATATTTGGGAGCCAAAAGAGAGGGGTGTATGAAAATATACAACTGTCTAATATACAAAGAAATAGAGAAAAAAGTGATAAATATACAGATATATCTAAATGAAAATTTACTGAAAATAAAACAACTTCTTTAGGTCGTGAGTTCCATCCCCAGTACCAAAACAAAAACAAAAACAAAAAACACTAATAGTCTTGTAAACGTGATAACTAAAACATAAATATTCAGAGGAAATGAATTTCAAAATATGAGCTAATTAAGGGAATTTAAAGTGGTAGCAGACAAAAAACACAAAGCATGGTTAGAATAAGAATGCCAGTATCCCAATTTTTTTTAAAAAGTTCAAACTCAAATTAACTTAAAATGCCAAAATATTTAAAGCAAAAATTAAAATAACACAAATTATATTACATAGTCCATGTTAGGAGGCTTTAAAATTTTTTTCCATATTGCTTGATTACTACAACTTAAGGATTCAAAAACAGTAATGAGTTTGGAAAAATCAACACTACAATTAACAGATGTGATCTAACAAACTCATACAGCGCACCCAAAATATACTAAATTTATATTCATTTCAAATGGTTCTAAAACTAGCAGGTGTGGTAGCATATACTTGCAATCACAGCACTTGGAAGGCTGGGGCAGGAGGATCACTGCAAGCTTGAGGTCACTCTGGGGTACACAGTGAGATCAAGGCCAGCCTGAACTATGAAAAGAGACCTTGTCTCATCCCTCTGGAAAAAGTCTCCAAATTTCTGTAAAATTTGACCCTAACAGATTCATCCATGTCTTTATATTCATGAAATGAAATGAGTAAAAAAGATAACTTGATAAAAGTCTATTTGATATACTTAGTATTTTCAGTGATTTTCATTTTAGCTATTTTCTTATGTGGTAGTATTAATTGAACTTTTAATGTATCTTTTTTAATGTCTTAAAAAAATACATGTACCAACTCCCCAAAATGAATTAATCATTATATTTTGCAAACATGTACTAACAAAAAATATTTTTTAAAAACTGCATACTAGTCTGGTGTGGTGGCACATGCCTATAATCCCAGTACATGGAAGGTTGAGGCAGAAGGATTGCTGCGAGTTTGAGGTGAGCCCGGGCTACACAGTAACACCATGTCTCAAACAACTGCACAGTAGCACTGAATGAAGGCCTCAGCAGACTCAGGATGGAGTCATATTATTGGCACACAGCCCCCATCTGTTTTGAGATCCTCGGGTACCACCTCCTCAAGGGACAGACATGCTTTATTTCAGGGAGCACAGATCTGGCACAGAGAGCCTCTCCATTAGTCTGTTGTTTAAAAGAACAAAATGGACAGTGTAACACACTAACAAGATCTTGTATCAACTGTGAAAGGCCTTTGAATTGTACAGGGAGCAAGGCTATCCCTGCTCTCCAGAAGTTAATTACACATAGAAAACACTGAGCAATAAAAATAGCCAGTCTCATGGTATATGTGGTTTCTGTCCGCTCTCCCCAAGGATATTGTTTTTTTTAGTCCTCCTTCCACAGCACAACTAAAACAATTTTGTAACCCTCAAGCACATTATCTATTCCTTTGAAAGCCAGATTAGAGCAAAGAGAACACACACTAAATCAATTTTGTAAAAGTGAATCCTTAAGAGGCATACAAGGTGCTCATCAAGAATTTAAGTCACTGTTACTCAATGAATGCCCTCTTGACCTGGTTCCTGATCTCCACATTCAGCAGGTAAGGACAGTCAGGGTGAGAATCAGCCTCTCAGCTACTTGGGCATTTATAAAAATATTTTGGCAAGTCTTCTGCCCGACAGTCTATAATTAGCAAATAAGCCTCAGAAACTAAGATGAACTCAAAAGAACTTCCAATGCCAACAGCCAACCCCTCCAACACTGAGCTTGTGTAGCCCTGGGCCACTGCCATCCAGAACCTGGGGTTCAGAGCCCTGCCACAGCACACACACCCGGCAGTTATGAAGAGCCTCTTTATCGAAGCTCTAATGGCCTGACCTCTACACCTGCTGCACTTCCTGAAGACAGACAGGCTCTGGAGCACAGTTGTTTTGTGCACGCGGCTGCACTTTCTAGGAATGACCGCACACATGCAGAGGCTGGCCAGCTGCCAAGGTGGGGGCAGCTAGCTGCCTCAGGCCTGAACTTTCCCAGCACTGTCAGGACGGGATCCCACTAGGAGCTGACTCAGCAGCCGACATGGAACTCTGCCAACCACACAGCAGCATGGGGGCTGCCAGTGACTCACAGATGTTTTTCTAAACCAAAGCCATCAGTCCGGAGGCGGGCCTGGGCTGGTGGCCAGAGAACTGCTGTCGTGGAAGTCAGGCTTCTCATTCTAGTCCTAGCTTTGCTGCTGTCTCCTTCAGTGATGTGAAGAAACCTCTGTGCACCTTTGGAAGCACGCTGGTGTGGATATGGGATGGTGCTGTTTGTATCAAGCACCATCTGCTGGAGCAGTGCTGGCTGCCATGTGCTTGGTGCTGAGCAGACATTCATGTGGGCTATTTTGTTAATCCCTCCAACATCTCTAAGAGGCATCTTTGTTATTTTTATTCAACAGATGGGAAGACACAGGCCAGAGCAACTAAAGAGTGCCATGAATAAGACAGAAAGGGTGGGAAGTGAGACTCATTTCTTACTGCACACTCTTACCACCAACACAGCCATTGTAAAACCTGAGGCAACTGAATTTTTCAGGTTCCAAAGAACCTTTCTTACATGACTTCTCAGTTGCCCTTTATAAGCCCACAGTTCTTAACCAAAGATTTCTAAACAGTACCACCAGGCCACACAGAGCATTCCTATAATACTCACGCACTAATGGCTTTATCATGAACTCTGCCCAAACCAACAAGTCACTCAGCCTGACACAACCTAACATCGATCCCATTCTAAGCGAGAAAAACTATGGTGCAGGTCATGCAGAAAAGGGAAATTACAAACAAAGGTTTGGTTAAAAGTACAGATCTCCTGGGCTTCAAAATCATTCATTAGGATCCTGCAATTTAGCTTTTTAGCTTGCTAGCTGACTCACATTCAGCCATGTTTAGAGGTCATTTCAGCTTTCTGCAGCTAAAGAGAGAATTGTAAGGTCTATCTTTTTTCTAAGCAGATGACATAAAGGTGAAATAAAATTATATACACAATGTTCTTTCTTGGGAAAAATATGTGATATAAGTGCTTCTTGTCAGCTATGTTCAGCTGTAATACAACAAATTCTCCTCATAAGGCATTGTCCTCCAAAAGCCTAGGAAATGCTTGGCCATAACTGTTCTTTTATGTTACTATTAGCAAAATTAATGACACTCAAGTATCCCATTTTTAGATAGCCCTTGTGACATTGTAGCAAACTCATCCTTCCTTTGAAAAAGGCAGTACTGACATTCTTTGATATCAAATTTGGAACAATCTGCATAAAGAGTAACTTACACATTCTATTACTTTAATCAAGAAAGCAGAAATTAATTTATGTGTATGGTGGGGACAGAACCTAGGCAGTAATGGCAAACCTTTTAGAGCTTTCAATGATAACAAACTGCCAGCTGAGGCACACGTGTCATAGGTTTGCCATTCTATGGCATACATGCTACCAATGAACTGCAGCTCCAGTCCAAGAAAACAAAAGAGAGAGAAAAATTCAGTCTATTCGTGCCCTGGTTATGGGTCAGTGAAGTGAGGCAAGGAGCCCTAGACTGGCACAGCTCCTGTTCCTGGCCATCCTGTACCCTCTCTAGCTCACCTCTGGGAAGAACAAATGACCTTCCATGTCAGAAGCACTCACCTGCTTAAGTTGCTCATCTGGATTCCAGCTTGACTGCCCAGCCATGGAAACAGAAGGTGGGGCCTTGGAAGCATCTTTGGTATGGTCTTCTTTAGTTTGCTGTCCCTGTTGGGGGAGCCCTGGTGCTGGAAGCAGACCTGACATAGGTGCTCCCCGGGGGTCTACACGAGCTGCTTTCTGCATGTGAAAATATTTGGAAGCAACCTGGGCCTCTTTTTCAGCCACTTCTGCAACATCATCTTCCCCATCCTCATCTTCCAAGCCTTCCTCTTCCTCAGGTTCTGAGTTCACGTTGCCCCGTTCAAAAACTCGGGCCACTGGTGTGGCTGGTGAAACTCTGGCTAAGGGACCCAGGGCAGAGCTGCTGGCAGGTTTCCCAGGTGTGGCAGAAAGGAGAGTAGGCTGTGTGACTAGCTTTTGGGCATAGAGGAACTGGGCTTCTTTCATCTGCTGTCCTTGCTTCTCTCGGGCATCCATCTGCAGAGGGGCTAGGTGCGCCTGCTTCTGTTGCTGTTGCTGCAGCGGCTCCATCACTGCCGTGAGCCTCACTCACAGATTGGCATGGCTCTGGACCAGGGCACAGCCTAGCAGGCACACCGCGTCTACACTTTAAGTGATTAACCAAAACCACAGAAGAGGAGGAAGGGAGAGAAACAACTACGTGAAACAGGTATAAAAGGCTTTCATTTCTCCCAATAAGAGGCCATAGTTCTGACCACTAAACACATGCTCCTAAATCTAATTCAACACAAATTGAGTGTGGGGAGGGAAGTAAATAAAGGAATAAGATCTAAGAATGGAAATTCAGGGTCAATTTCGGCGGAAGTAGACTGTTGAGGGTTTTAAAAGAAGAAAATCCAGAAGCTATTTAACCGGCCAACATCTGTGTTCTGATCTCTCTCCTTCTACATTATCAAACATTCACGTTTACTAATGAAAAGGCAAATGGGTTCACACTGTGCAAGGGGTTGTGACTATGAAAACTTCTGTTATTAAAGGGAAAGAAAGGCCTACTTACAAAAGAGAAAATCCCTTATGCTCCGCTCCCAGGCCCATCTGAGAAAGAAATCACCATTCAACGTAGACAGAACTATCAGGCAGACAGCACAACCTCTCTTATAGAAAAATTAAGATCAAGCACGCTGCTCTTGGATTTAAACTTTGCAAATTTCACAGATCAAATTGCCAGCCTGCTTGTGGGATGGACTGAACCAGGCAAACTGGACATTATAGCCTCTCAAAAAGAATCCAATTTCAACAACATGAAAGAAAAAAAAAAAAAAAAAACAGGCAAGAGTCTCAAGTTGCAATCCTTGCTCAAAAATAAACAAGGAGCGAATTCCTTAGGAGATTTTAAAGTTAATTAATTTGAAACAGGTATCAATATTGTCTAAACAAGTTAATGCTTCTCTTATATATGGTCAAGTAAATCTCAACAACCTTTCTCTCTAATTCACTTGTACTACAATATTTTTCCTATAATGAATATAAAAAGAGAGGACTTTCAGGCCAAGAGCATTCTAGGGGCAGGTTTATCTACATTCTTACCAATCAGTCTACAAACACCCCTTTCACACCCTCTCCACCTCTAAACCCCTTTCCTTCTCTCTAAGCTCCCACCCCCAACAAATCTCCCTCTGAGTTATGTTTTATCAGCAAGTCTCCTTAACTGAACGGATTACTATGCAAGGGCAAATTTTAGGGTGAACAGGACCTGCAACATGGTGTGTAATTTTGTCATCACATGAAAGCAGCAGCTGTATCACACAGGTTGGGGCATGATTTTTGCATTGTTTCAATGTTTTAGAACTGGGTCCGAAGACAAACAAAAAATCTTTAGCATCTTCAAAAATTCACAGGGAAGTAATCCCAATCCTAGCAATAAGAATGGCTTGGGTTTATGAACTTTCTATAGGTTAGAGTAAAAAGAGCACAATTTTTAAAGCTAGGAAAGCTTTTTTAAAAAAAAAGTAAAAATTCTCATTTTTTGTTTATCTTAGAAAGTGTTGGTTATGCTTTTTGAATTCAAATTCCAATTTGCCTCTGACTTCCTTTACTTCCTCTCTTAGCACTTTAGAAAGTGTGAGTTAATCCTGCAGCAATGCTTTCATTCTGCTTTTGCTTAGAGTGTACAAAGCAAGAAAAGATTTGCACTCCTATTAAACCCAACTGGCAAAAATCCTGATTTACAGTAAAAAAATCAAAAACAAAAACAATTTGAGTCAAAGAAAATTAAACAAAAGAATAAACCGAACAATTCAAGGACCACTGAAAAATGTCCTTGCAATCATCACAATCAATCACAAAATCATTCCTCAATCAGATTCTGCCCGTCACTTGTTCTGTGGCACCATCTTCTTGGTGTGCAGTCCCAGGAACCGAGATGACTCAGTTCTACAACTCGACATACGTCTTTCCCCAGAGCCCATCTTCCCTGGTCCCCAGGCAGCTAGGATCCGTTGGGATCCTAACAATGCCACCTGCCCGCACTCGCGGAGCTTGGGTCTCAGGAACCTGCAGCTTCTCGCCCTCTTGCGCGGCCCCTCCCCCAACCCCCAGTCAGGGACCCCGGGACCCTCGAGCCCGCGACGCCTGCTCGCTCGGCTCCCTCGGGCCCGCTCGCGGCCACCCCGCTTCCTCCGTTCCGGGCTGGGGTCCCCTCGGCCCCGGTCCCTTTCTGTCTCTCTTCCCTCGGGCCAGGAGTCTCCGCTCCGTCACACACCTGCCTCCCTCATACCCAGCCCGCCACCTGCAGAGAGCGGGCGCCGCCAGCTCACCTGTGAGGCTCCGGCCGCAGGCTGTACACTAAGCGGCCGCTCAGGCCCCAGGCCGCAACTGCGTCTCGGACTCCTCCGCCGCCGCCGCCGGGGGCCACAGCCGGGGCGGAGCCCGGACCGGAAGCGGCGCGGTGGGGCTGGGCCACCGGCCGGGGCGGGAGAAGGGCGGGGGCGGGGCACACAGGTGGGGCGGGGCCTGAGGCCGGAAGCGGCTTAAAAGGGAAGGAGGAGGGCGGGCTGTGGGCAAGGCGGAAGTGACTCCCTCGGACTGTCCCGCCTCACGGGATCGTGACCGGAAGCGAATGAAAGCGGGCGAAGTTTCAACCAATGGGAGAGCGCGGACCCGAAGGAGTTCCGGAGGGAGCTCTTCCGCGCAGAGTTGAAAAGAGATGGGTTGAGTACGGTTCGTTAAGTGTTACCTAGCGGTAGAGTTTGGTGTTCTGCAGCGGCAGGCAGGGAGGAAGGTCAAATAATAAAGAAAAGAGATGTTGGGGCTGGGGATTTAGCTCAGCGGCATAAGCACCTGCCTTGCAAGCAGGCGGTCGTGAGTTTGATCCCTGGTACCGATAAAAATGAAAAAGACAAAAAAAAAAAAATGTTGGTCTCCATCTAATCTCCTTCAAACCTGTCTTCTCAGAGTTTTCCGCTTTTAGACCAGCTTTCAACCCTTGAACAAGCCCGGGCTGTCTCCTGAGGATCCTGCCACCCTTGGGGCTCCTCACATGGATTAATAGTCTCACTACCAAGTCCCAGAGGTGTGGACTGTGTGCCGGATACTGTCACCCATTGGACAAACGCTTATTTCTCCGACGCTGCCTCTTAGATTTTACCACCCAGTTAACTGTAGTAAACGGTTGTTGATTCGCGCTTGCAGGCTTTACTTTCTTTCCTTTGACCGTATTCCTTGGTCATTTTAGATTTAAGCCCGACAACCATTCAACATCGGGCCTCTTCTAAAGCGATCCTCCCAATCAACACCTAGACCTTGACATCTAACACGAATCACTAAGTTGAGCATGCCTCGGCCCAGATAGCTTTCTAATCCTTTCAGTTTAACTGCTGAAAATTTTAATAACTATTCTTTTCCTGTATCACAACTTCCAAGTTGTGGAAAGCGTCTAATTTATGTCTTAAACATTGACCCTGTCTACACTTAACTTTCCTCACATATTTTAGATTTAATGGTAGATCATTACAACCCCACTTTTTTTTTTTTTTTTGGTTCCTGGGATCGGACTCACAAACCCCTCGCTTGCCAGGCAGGTGCTTACACAGCTGAGCTAAACCCCCAGCCCCTACGACCCCACTTTTACAGTCTCACCCCAACAGTCCCTGTTCTCCAACTAAGACCCCCCACTCTGGCTGAACCTCCAAACTTCTCCATGCTTATACCTTGTAGAAAACTGTCATGCCAAATAGACTGGCATCACTAAATTAGCTATCAACCTTAAATGGACGCTGAACTGTGACTTCAGACTTCACTGTATTAAATTCCACTATTGCTGGAAATCGCTAAACCTGCATTTCCATATCACTTACCTTGATTAGCTAACTACACAAGTAACATTTAATTGTCCTGATATCTGAAAATCTACTTACGTGTGTTCTCATCCTGTCTTTTCCCCCCTAAAAAATTATGGAATCAAAAATACTCAGTGAACTCTTGGTATATTCTAGACCAAGTACTAATGTCAACATATATTGAGCAGCAGTCAAAACTGCCCTCAAGGATCTTTACTAGTTCAGGAATCCAAAACAAATATTGTCAGGATTATGGACTATGAAAGACCAAGACAGGGGTTATACAGTGGTGTCAAGTAGCTGCTGGTTCAGATACTAAAGAACTCATTGTTAAAGAACACTTACATGAACACTGGACTTAACTAGAGGAAGTAAACCATGTGGATGTCTAGGAAAAGAAAGAGGCAACCACAAATTTAAATACCGAGGGAGGCATGTGCTTGACACACTGTAGGAATAGCAAGGAGACCCCTAAGGCTGACACAGAGCAAGTAATGGGAGAGAAGTAGGAGACCACGTTAGAGAGACAGCTAGGGGCCTAGTGATGCAGGGCTTTGTCAGCCATAGCAATATTTCCACTCTGGAGTTTTGAGCAAAGGAGTGAGTTGATGAGACTTTAGTCTCTGAAAGATCATAGAGCTTGGGGGTTGTAGTGCATGCCTGCGATCAGCACTCAGGAACCTGAGCCAAGGGGGTGCTGCAAACTCAAGGCCAGCTTAGCAAGTTTAAGGCCAGCCTGGGCTACATAGTTCAAGGCCAGCCAAAATTCATAGGGAAACTGTTTCAAAAAAAAAAAAAAAAGAGGACTTCCGGGAGAACATGGCAGATAGACAACAGCACCTATGGAGGCTCTCTGAGTTAGCCAGCTTAGAAACCAGGAATGGTGCGGTGTGAGGAGTCCTAAGCAAGGGTAGATATACCCTGCGGACCCAGGAACGAACTAAGCTGAGAGAAACCAACAGGAAATGCAATTCCGGTGCTATAACTGGAAGAGATAAAATCTCAGCGCTGAAGCTGGAACCCGTGCCTGTGGAAACAGTGATTTGAATTTCCTGCGGCCACAGCTGCTTCTGAATCAGCACAGCAGGGAGAGAGATGCGAAACTTCTGAGAGCGGGAATCAGCGAATGGAGTTGAGAGTGGGACTGGTGGGGAGCCCTGCATTGACCTGCAGTGAGTGAGAGGAACCGGGACCCTTTCATAGATAAGGCGGTTCCAACAGAGCACATTCTGAGACCAGGCAGACTAACCAGAACAGAACGCTGCAGTGACTTTAATTGCATACTCCCCTCTCAAGCGGGATTGGTGAGGAGCACTTGGCCTGGGTGATGCGGCAGACTAAGACCCAGTAGGCTAGCCCAAACCAGGTCCCAGTGCCTGGTGGTGCACTCTAGCAGTGAAGCCTTCAGTAGATTGACTGACCTGGAAGGACGGGGTCAGCAGAGGCTGCCCAGGTTTGTGTCTCCCTAGTACACTGCAGTGGGCGGGAACACCTAGCCAGCACAATTCAAACAAACTGTAACTGACAAAGAAAGAAACTGGGCCTCCTATATATGCTTGTATGGAAGGAACAAAAAGTATGGGAAGAGGGAGCAACAAGAAAGGGTCCTCGGCCCCCAATCCTGAGAACACTGTTCCAGGAAAGGTAAATGCAAAGGAGAATGAGGACAGAAAACGTGCAATATCAGACACGGAACCAATAGACACAAAGTGATATCTCCGGAGCCTCATAGACGAGTTCAAAAGTGAAGTATTTGACGACCTAAAGCAAGATATAAGTAGAATAGTTAGAGAAATGCTAAGCACCACCCAAGAAAAAACAGATAGTGGAATGGAAGAACAGAAAAAAAGGGGAGAATTGTTTGACGGAGAAAATAGAGAAAACATGGAATACTTGAAGCAGATTCAAAGAGATTACCAGGAAACTAAAAACTCTATTGAAAACTGGCATAACAGCTTGAAAGAAACTAAGGATAGATTATCTGAACTGGAGGACAGATTTGTAATGTGGGAGCATGAAATGAAAAACTTCTTAAAAATAACAAGAAAACAAACAGCAATAATACAAAGGTTTGAAGATGATAAGACAATCTATAACTTAAGAATTAAGAACGTAAAAGAAGAAGTAGGGACACAAACAAATGAACTACAAAGGCTATTCACAGAAATAATCCAGGAGAATTTCCCTAATTTAGCAAAAGGTAAAGATACTCAGATATATGAAGCATACAGGACCCCAGCATCCTACAACCCAAACAGAACAACACCCAGGCATATAATAATCAAAATTCCAGAAATCCAATATAAGAACAGAATATTAAAAGCCATCAGAGACAAGAAACAGATAACTTACAGGGGAACACCCATCAGAATTACAGCAGACTTCTCGGCACAAACCATCAAATCACCAAGAGTGTGGGGAAAAATAATTCAAGCTTTGAAAGATAATAACCTCCAGCCAAGATTGATATATCCTGCACAGCTGTCCCTAGAAATTGATGGAAAAACAAGGTGCTTCCAAGATAAAGAGGAACTAGGGGAATCTGCAGCCACCAATTCAACTCTACAGAGAATATGCAGGACATTCTAAAAAAAGAAAAATACCAAGATTCCAGAAACAGTGGGAGAGAGGCCACAATGAATGTAGCAGAAAGCATAATGAAGAAGACAAACTGACAACTAATGACAGGAAAAGAGCTCAACAGAAATGAGGCAGAGAAGGTTGGATGGTAGGAACAGCTATTTTGGAGAAAACAAGACATCATAATAGCTAGTGATGATTTAATATCATCTTGTTTTGAAGTCCTGTCAAGCTTTTATTCTTCTGTCTCTATCAGTCTTAACATGTATCTTATTGGATTTTATATGTGATAATATAAACAAGAACTTTTATAGACAAGGAGATTATACAGAAACCATTGTTCATTTTCTGTTAGTTGGTTCTAAATACCCTGTAATACTGTCATTCTCTTGAATGGTTTTACACTGTCTTGATATGCTTGATGCTACAGTATACGAAGTTATACTCAAAAATTTCAAGGAAAGAGACACTATCATGACTACTATTATGTCAAGTTCTGGTGCTGAAACACTATTTTGCTTAAATGGTTATGTTTTGACCTGTGCTGTTTTGTTGTTATATCCTCTTTTATCTCAATCTCCCTTTTTTATTATTTACTTCTTTATTTTTATCTTTTTAATTAAGGGAAAAATAAAAATAGCAGGATATATTATAGTAACCCACTTTGATTTCCTATTAACTTGATTTGAAACCTTGTATTGCTCTCACCATCTTGGTTTGACTGATTTTCCTCTATTCTGTTTTGCTTGATACTATGAAGTTCGAGAGTATAGGCAACAACTGTGAAGATAATAAGATTCATTATGACGCCCATTCTGGTTTGACTATTATCTTCTTTTGAAGTCCTGCAATGTCTCCAATGTTTTGGTTTTATTGGTTTTGTTCTTTACTGTTTTGTTCAATTTTATTAGAACTGATGATATAGGCAATTCTTTTTAAGATAGCAAGAGGCATTATGGTAACCATTGCTGATCACCTTGTATTCTGTTTTTACCTTATGCACTATGTTCATCCTTTTGATTTGACTGACTCTGTTTTGTTATGTCACATTTGGTTTTATTCTCTT